ACAAGCTCCTATGTTATAAGACTTGACAAAGAAGGAAGGGGCAGTGAAGTTCTTTTAAACCAAACACAATTATTGCTATGGCCATTTGTGCAGTGTATGGTGAGCGTAAATTTTAGAAAACTGGTCATATCTCAAAAACCCCTTAGTCAAATTTTTTCAAATTCTTGGCCCAAGGGCTTTCATTTGTACCAAAACTAGGGATGTGTCCCTTAAAAAAGGGGAGATAATAAGGGAAATAAAAACAAAAGTAGTGGTAGCTAAAAAATCTTCTCAAGAACCACTGGGCAGATTATCACCAAACTTACATACAAGGATGAGGATATGTTGTAGGAGCAAAGGGCATGGTCTCAAAGTCACTTCAAAGTTGACCAAAAATATGTTTTGTTAAAACTTTGATATTTTGCCCACTATAAGCCTAGGATCATCAAATCTTGTCAGTTGATGTATCTTCAGACCTCATATGATGCTGACTCAAAACCAGGTCACGGTGACCTACTTTTTGAATTTTGCATATATTCAGTTTTGTTTAATTTTGATGCATAACTTGGATAATTTGAAGCCTATGGTCATCAAAACTTGTCAGTCATCATGGGACCTTGAAATGTGTCAACCAAAAAGTTGGTCACTGTGACCTACTTTCTGAATTTTATGGCTTATCATTTTCTAAACATTAAAGGTCATTATTTCAGATGCTGAGAGGTTGAGAATCATCAAACCTTGTAAGTTGATGCACCTTGGGATCTTACATCATATTTATCAAAAAGTATGTCACAGTGACCTACTTTTTTAATTTTAGAGTTATTCATTTTCAAATTTTTTTAGAGGCATATTTTGGACACCTTGAAGCATAGAATCATGAAACTTTGTCAGTTGATGCATCTTGAGTCCTCAGAGTGTATCAACCAAAAACTAGGTCACCTTGACCTACTTCTGCAATTTTATAGCTTAATTTAAATATTTCAGATATTAATTGGCTTGGAATTATCAAACTTTGTCAATTGATGCATCTTGGGTCCTCATAGTGTGTCAACTAAGAAGTACATCACCGTGACCTACCTTTGGAATTTGCTAGCTATATTTCAATACTACAGATATTAATTAGTGCATTTTGGGTCCTCAAAGTATGTCAAGCAAAAAGTAGGTCACCATGATTCATGGCTAATTCAGATACTAATTGGTTTAGAATCATCAAACTTTGTCAGTTGATGCATTTTGGGTACTCAGAGTGTGTCAACAAAAAAATAGGTCACCATGACCTACTTTTGGAATTTGATAGCTTTTTCAGTTATTAATTGGCTTAGAGTCATCAAACTTTGTCAGTTTATGCATCTTGAGTGATCGGAGTGTATCAACCAAAATGTAGGTCATGGGGACCTACTTTTGCAATTTCATGGCTAAATTTAAATATTTCAGATAACATTTGCTTGGAATTATCAAATTTTGTCGATTGATGCATCTTGGGTCCCTGGAGTGTGTCAACCAAAAAGTAGGTCACCATGATCTACTTTTGGAATTTGTTAACTATATTTCAATACTACAGATACTAACTGGCTTAGAATCATCAAACTTTGTCAGTTGATGCATCTTGGGTCCTCAAAGTGTGCCAACCAAGAAGAAGGTCATCATGACCTATAATTTCATGGCTATTTCAGATACTAATTGGCTGAGAATCATCAAACTTTGTCAGTTGATGCATTTTGGGTCTTCAGAGTGTGTCAACAAAAAAGTAGGTCACTGTGACCTACTTTTGGAATTTGATAGCTTTTTCAGTTATTAATTGGCTTAGAGTCATCAAACTTTGTCAGTTGAAGTATCTTGAGTCCTTGGAGTGTATCAACCAAAAAGTAGGTCATGGGGACCTACTTTTGCAATTTCATGGTTAAATTTAAATATTTCAGATAACATTTGCTTGGAATTATCAAACTTTGTCAGTTGATGCATCTTGGAGTCCTCGGAGTGTATCAACCAAAAAGTAGGTCACAGTGACCTACTTTTGCAATTTCATGGCTTGTTATAAATATTTCAGATACTAATTATCAGACTTTGTCAGAAAATGAATCTTTGGTACTGGAGTGTGTCAACCAAAAGTAGATCACCATGACCTACTTTTGCAATTTCATGTCTATTTTAGATTGTTATTAACAAAGTATTATCAAACTATGTCAGTTGATGCATCTTGGGTCTTCAAAGTGTGTCAGCCAAAAAGTAGGTCAAGGTGACCTACTTTAGGAATTTTTTTGATTGCTATTTCAAATACAAATTGGCTTAGAATCATCAAACTTTGTCAGTTGATGCATCTTGAGTCCTTGGAGTGTATCAACCAATATGTAGGTCACTGTGACCTATTTTTGCAATTTCTTGGCTAACTTGATATATTTCAGATACTAACTGGCTTGGAATTATCAAACTTTGTCAGTTGTTGCCATGCTGACCCACTTTTGGAATTTCAAGGTTTTATCCTTATACTGTACATTGGCAAATAATCACGCGATTCATCATTTTTCTGCGAAATTAAACCCATAGTGAATGCTATCATTTGTTTTTAAAAATGTTTGAATGCTTATACGAAATTTAAATTAATTTCTTGCATGAAATTAAAACCATCAAGATTGGTACTTTTTGAGAAATTGTGAAATTTTAACACCTTGGAATTAAAACGACTTACAGTATATAGGTTACCAAGAGGCTTAAAACAGAAGAGATAGTTTGTACAATTTCTCAGAAGAGTGATTCTAGGTCCTTGGGCCTCTTGTTTATATCATAAACCTGTATATATACCTTAGCTCACCTGAGCCAAAAGCTCAAGTGAGCTTTTCTGATTGAAATTTGTCTGTTGTCTGTCTTAGTCGTTGTCATCGTAAACTTTTCACATTTTCATCTTCTGCTCAGGGGTCTAATTGGCAACTAATTTAGTCACCATGGCGCGTAAAATTTTTCATAAGTCACCAAATTGGCGACCATTTTAATTTCACTTGGCAATCATCGAATTCTGGAAATTTTAACATTTTTATCAATTTTTATGAAAAAGCGAAAAGAAATTTAAAAGAAGAGGGAATTATTTTTAGCAATGGACATGTCATGTTTTCTTAATCACACCATGGGTCCCTATACTGATTACTAATAATTTTTAAAAGTTGGGCACCTTAAAGAAAAAATTGCCTGGCGACTACAAATTTGCATTGGCGACTAAATTTTTCTGATACCTAAATTTTAGAGATCCCTTAGAGGCCTGCTTCTTAAGAACTGCATGGTCAATTTCAACCAAACTTGCCACAAAGTATCCTTGGGTAAAGGGGATTCAAGTTTGTTCAGATGAAGGGTCATGTCTTCTTGCCAGGGAAGATAATTATGATTTTGTGGAAAATTAATACATTGTAGCATCATTTAAAAATCTTCTCAAGAACCACTGTGCTTGAAAGTATGAAACTTATGTGGAATCATCGTGAGGTAGTGTAGATTCAAATTTGTTCAAATCATGACCCCCAGGACTAGGGTGGGGCCACAGTGGGGGATCAGAGTTTTACATAGGAATACATAGAAATATCTTTAAAAGTCCTCTTCTCAAGAATATAAAACCCATGATTGGTCATATTTATATGGAAGCATCCTCAGGTAGTGTAGATTCATATTTGTTCAAATCATGACCCCTGGGGGTAGGGTGTAACCACAATGGGTGATCAAATTTTAACACAGGAATACATAGGAAAAATCTTTAAAAATCTTCTTCTCAAGAATATAAAAGCCATGGTCATTCAAATCTATATGGAAGCATCCTCAGGTAGTGTAGATTCACTTTTGTTAAAATCATGGCCCCGGTTGTAGGATGGGGCCACAATGGGTGATCAAAGTTTTACAAAGTCCATAACTCAGTTTCATAGTTATACAAGGGAATAAAGGATATATTAATAAAAATTTTCACCTTAAGAACAGCAAAGCGATTAAGTGTCATATGAATTCAAAAGCATCCCTAGGAAGTTTATGCCCTGATCACATTGAGAGTTTAATTTGCAGTAAATTAATGCAAAGTAAAATGATGGGAATTAAACTAATTTGAATTAAATTGCATTCACATGACAGCTAGTGCAAAGAAAACTAATGCAAATTATAATTTTATTTCTACAAGGCTATTCAGTGAAGGTATTATGATGTCATTTACAAATCATGTCATATTGTGCAGAGAAGATATACATTTGACATAATGTCATAGTGTCTGTACACATTTTAGTGATTAACATAATTTTCCTTTGTTTTCCACTCAAAAATAGCACAAGTACCTATATTTGACCATCGACATGTGGCCAATTACTTAATTCTGCCCTTACGCATGCATCAAATTTTAATTCGAAATAGCTTCGCTTAGCGTTTACATGGAGCTAATGCGAAGTAAATTAATACGCAGTTAACTAATTCGAATTAAACTAATTTGCATTAAATTATCCGTGTGAATGCAGATTAAATTTATTTCACAGTAACTTACGTTTAATTAGAATTAAATTTTCCGTGTGAACAGGACATTAGATTCAACTTTGTTCAAATCATACCCCTGTCTTGTTAAGTTCTGTTTTTAAAACTAACGAAAATCTTTGCTGTAAGCATTAATTTAATTCATTACAGTAAAACTTGATTATAGTGAAGTCTTTGGGACCTGAGGATTACTTTTCTATAACCATAATTTGTTATATCCATATGACATATTTGTAAAACTACATGATTGAATTCAAAACATAGACGTTTTCCTTCTCATAACTACATGTATTGTTTATGCTCATTAAAGTATTAAATGCAAAACAAACTGCGGAGAACTAAAGTGTCTGTATTGTAATGTAGAAGTGTACAGATGGATTTTTATGAAAATAAATGTAAATGTTATACATGTATTTTCATTATTCTTAACCACTACAGGGCACAAAATCAATTCTTCTGCATGATAGAATATGTACATGTAAAAAGCAAAATTATTCTATAAATAATCAATAATCAGACCTCTCTGTTTTTTTCAGACTGCTGTCTGTGGTGTAATGTGAATTTCAAAACCAAGATTGAGCTTTTAGGCCATTTCATTTCTCTCCACGAGGACATGTTGATTCCAGAGTCTGATCAATCAGTTAACTGCCAGGCCATGCCTACTGATACAGATGGAGCTCTGGACTTGTCCAAGAAACCCAAGGAGACATATGGTAACAGTGCAGAGACATCTTATACAAATGTGGTGGACCTTTCCTTCACTACACTGGAGGAAGGAGAGAGCGCATTGGATTTATCCAACTCCAAGAAAAACCTGGTGGTAAATGAGATTAATGTTCCTCCGTCTGAGAACAGGCCCCAGTACAGTCTGAATAGTCTGATTGATGCTCTCCGGAATACCATAGAGCAAGACAGGAAGGACAAGAGGGGACCTGTGGGAAGCTATGTGATGGAGGTCGATCAGGAGATGGATCAGGGGGAGCCAGTGATGAAGTTTGTAGACCTGAGTTCAGACTCAGAAAGCGAGTCAGATCTTCCCAAACAGGAATTTACCTCAGATGTGAAAATTTCCGTAAAGACTTTCCAGGTGAACGGAAAAACCATGTATAGGTGTACCAAATGTAACAGAGTGTTTAGCAAATCCTGCACTCTGTCAAGACATGCTTTGGTACACACACAGCTTTTTCCATATCTTTGCGGAATCTGTGATTCAGAATTTAGAGACATGAGAGTACTTCTTAAACATCTGGATCTTCATGGAGAAGATGTGGATTGCCCATGTCAGAAATGTGAGAAAATCAACCAAGAAAAAACTGTTTCCAATAAGGAGAAAGAGGGATCTGGGAAATTTAAGTTCAAGTGTGATATTTGTAGTAAACAGTTTAGAAGTGCGGAGAGCTGTAAAGCCCATGTGGACTCGCATACCTCAGGAAGTGTGTCTGTCTGCTGTAGCATTTGTAAGATGAAGTTCTCATGTCACCGTGCTTTGAACAGACACAGGATGTCATCTCACTCCCTACAGAACTGCCCCGTGTGTCTGGAGTCCTCATCAGACCTCGCAGCTCACATGGTCAATCACCCAGGAGTGTTTATATACAAGTGTGGACTGTGTTCTGATGGATTCAATCGACGTCCAGACCTCCATGATCACCTCAAAGTGCACACCTCATTAGGAAACACAGGACCTCAGAACCAAATGAGGCGACGTGTTAAACCTTTGTCAAAAAAGACATTGGATGCAAGACTGCTGAAGAAAACTAAATCAGCTGAGAAAAAAGCAGCTAAAAAGAAAAGTGTTGCCAAGTCTAACAGTAAAGAAAAAACTGAAAATATTAAAGTGGAGACATTTGATGATACAGGCATTGTGACTAAAGCAGTAATTTATCAGAAGGAAGAGAGTATGGAGACCGAGACACCTGGGAGTACGCCAAAACCTAAAACTGACAAAGAAGGAACTATAGGGAATATCCCTCACTTCATGATGATTGACTCTTCTGTTGACTTTGACAATTATCAGAAACAAATCAAAGAGAAGCAGAAAAGTAAAAAACCTGACAGTCAAAAGAATTCAGCTGCCAAGGAAGAAAGTTTACCAGAGGAGGACACTCCATCACAAGAGTATATATCAGATAAAAGTGAGGGAAACCATGTAGAATCCCCAGTCAAGAGTGAACCTTCTTCACCCAAGACCTCAAGCTCAATGAGCCTGCGCAGACGATCTTCACGAAGATGTCGCTGGCATGACAACGATTCTGTGTGTGAACGCTGTGACGGAACCTTTATTAAAACCATTGCCTTTGAGAGGAAGCAGAAGAAGACCTCTCCAACATCCTCTGGTGACCTAAGCCAGCTGATCCCCCCGGGGGGGACATGACCCCTGTGACCAGCAGTACTGATGTCACACCCGCAGCTGTCAGGGTAGCCAGGACAACCAACTAACCATTAACCAGTCTCTTTATGTAAAAGTCTCTTTCTCTGGCAGCCATGTCACCACAGATATTTGTTAATTGTTTAATATTGACACATAAGACTCCCTTTTAACCATGCTAGGGCATGTCTCACAGTTATATTTTTTTTTACATTATTACACACGTGTATGTACGTGACTACGTGTATTAGCCTAAGAGTCAATTTTTATTACACTCAACGTTTCAGAGAGTATGGACTGCATATATTACAATTAAATCTATAACTTGTGCTTTGTTTATTTTTAAGTAATTTTTTTTTTTTTGGATATAGAGAAATTAACATTTTTTTCCGGTTTTCATTTCTGGTGTATTATAGTAGAAAAAAGTTGGTAAAAGTTTAAATGTTGACTATAATTTCTTTGAATTTTCACTTAAGCATTCAATAAGCACAGAGAAAAATATTGGTTAGAATTTAGTAATGCATGTGTTTAATGCTTTTAATCTGTTTTGGATAGATTTAATGTTACTTAATTATTTATCTAGTAGATACTTGACTGCTGGTTTACATACACCAATAAATTCAATATATATCCCCCACTACCCAAACTCCGTCACCATAAGCGGGAAACTCGTTAGGTTACACTCTGAATTATTTTTTGATTTGTTTCTTGTTTGCTACACTAAGTAATGAATTTCAACATTGTTTTCAGAACAATTTTAAATAATTCAGTGATTGAGCTTATACAAAACTACCATAAACAGCTGATAAATAGAACGCGTATCACATCCGTGTACATTACGTCCCATGAACCTTAACTCCGTCACCAGGGCCCTCTACAATATGTAAACGTATTAGTTAAAAAAAATTCCCAGTTTAGTTTTTTTCTCCGTTCATCTTAAACTTGTAAACATAAAAAATCAGTTTTGACGATTTAAAATTGTATTTGGAAAAGTATCAACAACAGAAAAAATAACATTAATGTAACGTATTTTATATGTAATAACGTCATATGTTATCTTCAATGTGTAGCATATTAGGGTAAATTGAGATAAAAAATAAAATATTTTTCGCCGTATTCAATATGGTATGTCATATTAATCCTTTGGCAAAGACCTTCATAAATATGACTGACATTTAAAAAGGAGCATATTGACGCACATGTCGGAGGTATCGATGGAATAGCGCATAAAGGAAAAATTGCTTACTGATTTCACATAAAATATGATAGATACAATAGATAACGTGTAATTGTTATTTATTTTTGATGCATTCTTGAACTTGACTGTTATAGTATCTCGGCATTTGATTGTAGATTTTCAGCATGTAAAAAATGATGTCACAATCGCATTCGTTTACAAACAGCGCAGAGTTTCCCGAAAGTGACGGAGTTAGGGTAGTGACGGAGTTGAGGGGTTTGGCGATACTTTAATTTATGTATTACAGTGAATGTTTAATTAAAAATTAAATTTTAAACTTCTGGTATTTAAACTGTTGATTTTTGAAACTAATATTTTCATTATGATAAATCTTAAGTCTTCTTCATAGTTTAAATGAAAACGGAGACTTGAGGGTTTTTTTTTTTGTTTTTTTGTTTTCCTGGTCTTATTAAAAGGAAAGTGTATAATGTATTAAATGTACATAACAATATAATATATTTACATAGTGACATGTAATGTTCATTTCTCCACATTGGCATGATGTTGATTAATTCTTTTATCATTTTAAAAGTAACTAGTTATTTATGGAATCAAATCATTTCTTCTTGTAAATCTTTTCCATGCAAAGATAATATATTGAAGTTATTTATATGGGTTTTTTTTCTTGATTTTATGAACGTTTTCAAACACTTGAGAGAACTACATAAGAAGTTTAGATATATGTACTGCACACAAGAGTTTTTATTTTTTTTTCATGTAAAAAAACAAACTAAATTTTCTCCTTGCTTCCACCGATTCATAATTATGCTGCCAATTTAAGAAAACGGATCTTCCAACAGTGTATTATATTTTCTGGTGTGTAATACATCCATTTAATCCCTGTATATATACATTGTGTACACTATTTAGAAGCTAAATCAAGAAAAACATTCCTTACGTACAGTACTGTCCAAAAATACAGGAAGTTACAGATGATATCTCTCCCACAAAGTGTTCGTGATTATAGATATTGAGAACAGGCGCAGTGCAGACTTTTACAGTAAGAGAGACACTATTATCATTACTATTTGGGATTTCTGAGACAGTTATTGAGAACACTCCTTCCATACAATAGTGTCTATAATTGTATACAGTTGTTGAGGACACTCCATACCATAGTGTCTGTAATTTTAGATTTTTGAGGACACTTACTTCATACAGTAGTGTCTGTAAAAATAGCAGTGATTGAGGACAATCCATACAGTAGTGTCTGTATTTATAGACAGTTATGAAAGACACTTACTCCATACAATAGTGTCTGTAATTATAGACAGTTATTAAGGACACTTACTCCATACAATAGTGTCTGTAATTATAGACAGTTATTGAGGACACTCCATACAATATATTGTGTCTGTAATTATAGACAGTTATTGAGGACATCTGTCTCCCACAAACAGTCTATAGCTGCATACAACTGAGGCAGTTATTGAGGACACCACCTTCTCCTCCCCAAAGTGTAGATTGTCCATAATTACAAGCAGTTATTGAGGACACCCACAACCTGATACACACTGCCTTTCATTCCAGACATTTATTGCTGTTAACTGTGTAAATATCTGTACAAAAGTGTAATAAAAATTATACACTAGTTCAATTGTACCTAATTGAATCTAATGAAATGTTTAGTTGTACCTTGTTATTTGTTGTTTTGATTGTGTGATTATAGTTTGGTTGTTAGTATTTGGCTTTGCAGACTTTGCAGGCTTTGGCTTTGGATTTGAGAGGCATTAAGTATTAAGGTATGAATTATGTTGATGTATTTTTACTCTATTTAAATTGTATACATGTATATCAAATGTTATCCACAGTTTTGTCAATTGTAAGGCTTTTAGATTTACAACAGAAGAAATGATAAAAATGTATACATGTATATTGTTATGACCTTAAATGAATGTGTTTGATTACATTAATTACCAAGGGAATGTTATACATATATCAGTAGTACCTACCCATCTTTTCTCTGTGTGATTTTTAACATTTAATGATATTTACCAGGCCAGACTTTGTTGTAAGATGTACGGGTAACACGTCTTAAAACACTCACAATTAAAATCACTGTCAGATATTGCCATGTCTCTCCAATGTGATTTTGATATAAGTATGTGTCAACTGTTTTACTTTTAATTCAATGTGTGGGTAGTTGTAACAGAGCATTTTAGTCTGTTCAGGGGCATTATTACTATATATATCTGTAGATTAAAGCATTAGACTTGAAGGACTTGTCTTGTTTCTGGGTATTCTGTACTGAAGATCAGAATCTCACTACTTTTTATCCCCCCCCCCCCCCCCCTTGCACCTGTCAGTATGTGGGTTGGTAGACCAAGTGTTGTCATTAAACTTGAGAACCCTTTTTAAAAAGTTTACGTGACACATATTAAATTTGGTACACTGGTATCCCCTGAAGAGTACATGACCCCTATTGATTATGAGGTCAAAAGGTCAAGGGGTCAAACTACTCTAAACATAGGAAGATTTTATCTATAATTCTGTATCTTGGGAATCATTTGCTTGACAGACATTAAACTTGGTACACTGGTACCCTTTGAAGAGCAGATGATCCCTATTGATATTGATGTTAAAGGTAGAACTGTAAATGTTTATATTGGAAGATATTGACTGCTCAGTACATGTATCTTGAGAACACTTTGCTAGACAGACATTAAACTTGGTTTACTGGTTCTCAAACTGGACAAAGGAATATATTGACTACATTGATGTCTTGAGAGCCCTTTGCTTGGTAGATTTTAAACTTGGTACATGTACACTGGTTTCTCCTAAGGAGTAGTTGACCCCTGTGGATTTTCAGGTTACAAGGTCAAGGGTCAAACTACTCAAGACATGGGAAGATATTGTCTGCTAATATTTTTAGAACATTTCCCCTTAAGATTTAGATGATCCCTGTGAATTTTGGGGTCACAAGATCAAAGGTCAAACTGGACATACATGTAGGAATATAATAACCACTAAAAATCTTGAGAACCCTTTGCTGACAAACATCAAACTTGGTATACTGTTTCCTTATTAGAGAGATGACCAATGTGGATTTTGAAATCAGGTCAAAAGTCAAAGGGGGTCTGATGACCTTTTTTTTCCTTGTCAAGGAATTATTGTTTTGCCCTCCCACTCACCCCCTCTCCCCCTTCAAACTGAAATTGCTTCCTACAGGCCTGGTAAGCACTACATTTGCTCATAAATATAATAGCTACAACTTTTTTTATGTTTATCTAAATTGGATAAACAACGTATATAAGCCTCAGATTAGAAATCCTACAATCTTGGCTAAAGTGCTGTAAATTTATCCTTTTTATTCTAAATTTTCATGGAGGGCTTCAAAAGAAGATGTCAAGATAGCAGACTAATTAACACCATTCACAAGTTTCTACATGTACTATGAAACAAAACACAAAAATTCATTTTTTTTTTTTTTTTTTTTTTTTTTTTTTACAGAAAACAAACTCTCAGATCTGATCTGTTTATTAATATAAGCCAGAGAAAAAAATATAACCACCGGGTTTGACACTGACACATATAGAAAGTTTTGTAAGTCTTAGACTTTCAGAGTAAGCTCAAGTAAAAATAAATTAAAATTGGTTTTTATAAAACCTTCATAAGGCAATGACCTAGCTAGGCTATAGAAAATAAATTTAGTTCAACAACAAATATAAATGTCAACAGAAAATATTGTAAAATCTACAATAAAAATGGCAATAAGCTGCTCCTTGTCTTTTACCAGTAACAGTGTAAATAAAGATTCAAAGGGAGATATTCCATTTTCATCTAATTTTTTTTCTGTTTCTTTGTATGGCTTAAAAAACTTATACACATAAAGTCATTCTTCTCTATATTAATTACTGTAAATCACTGCTTATTTGTAAGAACTTTATTTTCACTTAATTACGCAAGACCTAGTACTTACAAAAATTTCATTCTCGCGTATATTTTTATTATTAAAGAATACTTACAACAATATCAAACATTCATGAAAATTTCGTCTTGCTTAAAAATCATATATATCTTTTTCGCAAAAATAAAATGTCGCAAAAATTTGGTGTCTGCATCATCTACAGTATATCATTTATAACTTTATGGAGTAATAATCTCATTATGGTTATGCATTCATTACTAAATATGGCTTCACTGAGAAATAAACAAAAAATGTACAGTAGTACCCAAAAACAAACAATATACATGTACAATAATGAACATTCATGTACAAAGCAAGGGAAACCCAGTTCATTTATGTAAATACGCTAAGTAAACTATGTTTACCCATGTAGTATGTAAACACAAGGAATATCAATGGTAATATGGCACAGCAATGAGAATTATAGAAGCACTTCTGTAACTACATGTATAAATACCCACATTCCAAAAGCAGAGTGAATGTAAAACATCTAGATAACAACAGAAGAAAAAACAGTCTGAAAATGTTACCTCTATCAGTCATAAAGACATGTCCCGGCTACAATTTTTAAACCCTTAATTAGATCGAATTTAAACTTAAGTATGTTGCTGTTCAGGACCTGATGTCGATTCAAGATCAATCTCAAAGGTCAAGGTGTTGCTGTTCAGGATCTAAAGAGTCATGATGTCGATTCAAAATCAATCTCAAAGGTCAAGGTCACTAGACAATGAGATAGCACAATCATGTCAAAACTACAAATCTGGAACCCTTGTCTGGAATGTACTCATACTAAATATAGTTACTGCTGCTGATCCATAAATATGTCAGGATTGTCACTCAAGGTCATTTACTCAAGGCTATTGGACAATGAGATATTGAAATCAATTCTGGGCCATGTTTGAAATGTTTAGGAACAGCTAACTCATAAAAAAACATTAAGTAGGTTGTGTTGATGAATTAAAAGTACTGTAAATCACTCTTTATTTTCGCATATAACAACTTTATTTTCGCGTATTTATGCGAAAATTTCATTCTCGTGTATATAAGTATTCCTAAAGATTATATAGAGCAATAACCACAATTTGTGAATATTCTGTCTCGCTAATAAAGAGTCAATGACTATCTCGCAAAAATAAGGCGTCGCGAAAATTTAGTGATCTACAGTATGTCAAGACTTTAACTTAAGGACATATTTGATAGGGCAAGAGCAAGTTGTCAAGGTCGTATAGTAGTAATGGCCAAAAGTATGATTATCATATTCATAATAATTATCATTTTACTTTACACATGTATTTAAGAGGAACAAGTTCATTTTATCACGGCATGTGAGCATGATTGGACTTTATCCAGTATCACATTAAAATATTTACAAATATACTCTGTACTCATCACAGAATCAAAGACAACATGACACTTGCTTACATATAGCTGAGAGAGAAAACTTGTATTGTGTAATCTTTTGTGAACAAATCCTGTACAAAGTCTTTTACACATTTATGATAATTATTCACAAAAAAGCAACTTTATAAGGGGCACCATTTATATAAGCTAGAAGCTTTCACTGTACAAAATGAATAAAAACAAATGATCTTAATGTAAACGTAAATAAGATTAAGTGTACACAACAAGCAATCATAGTCTTACTGCTACAATACACAACATTAAGATCTCTTACTGATCCATCATCTTAAGACAAATTATCCTTGGGTATTCAAAATAACAGGAGTGTTAAAAAAATTACCAACACATTTTGCTAGCATTTTGTGGCACGTACTTCAACAAGCAGCACCAGAATTAAAGAAAATTAATTCACCGGAAAAACCGTAGAATTTTGTTTGTTTCTTTTTTTTTTTTTTTACGAAGATGTTTTCTTTAAATCTGGTCCCTTAAGTTTCAATGTATGCAACTCTCTTATCATCATTACAGCACAGAAAAATCTACACATTTCCTACTTACATTAATCAAAGCATATTAATTAAGTACTTCTTTTAATATTTCAATTTAAACAAAAATTAAAAAGAAATGATGTTTAATACGAGACTGACTGGCTGAAGTTCAACAATCTAGAAATCACCTGTAACCTATCTTCTAAGTAACCACCACATTGAATTTTTTTCTACACTGGTCTAAACTAGATGGAAATTCCAAATTGACATGATTTATTTCATTTTATATATGGTTTCAAATGGAATTCTGAGTTGAGCTAGGTCTTCAACAGAAGTAAACAAGTAAGAAATATGGCAACTTTTCCTTAATCATTGATCATATGATAAAACAATTATTGCAGGATTTTTAGGCTGCGCATTTCATTTCCAGAATTTTTTTAAATTTTCAACTTTTCATTTCCGACATTTTATAGTTTTCATTTCCGACATTTTCAGGTAGTACTTTTCGGTAAAGAAAGCAGGATTGAAGACTTCACTTATGAAATTAAAAAATGAAAGAATAAATCATTGAAATCCAAATAATGAGTTTTGCTTAGATATCAATGAAGTGAAAATAAAAAGATTTTTTTTCCCCTGAGGCACAAGTACACACATATAAGTGTTGTGAACTTTCACTCATCTCCTTGAAATGTAAATTATATATGTGACATTATATATATGGTCTACTACTATATGTTTTTATTGTGAAAATGTGGTTTGAAATAAATTCTTTTAAAAATCCATTTCCACCTACTTCGTTAACATTAAATTGCTGAAGAGTGACCCTGCAAAAACTCTGGAAATGAAAAAAAGAAATGTTGGGAATGAAAAAAAAAAATTGTCGGAAATGCTATGCAAAATTCCCTAAATGAAATGCAGAGGATTTTTAGGGGTTAATATGATGATCTCACAACCCTCCAAGAACAATTTTCCCTGAGCCCAAAATATTATATTCCCCAGGTAGCTAAATCATTGTAGTGACCCCCCAAATCACATAATCATTGTTTGATATTTCTAACATGCCTATAGTTCACTAAGAAGAGTACCTGTCCAATAGTTATGTTCTGTATACTCTGTGATGAACACTGATGAACTGACTACACATGGGACACCATCTCTGAACAGCTGAGCAGTCGAGACAGGCACACATGTGTCCGCAGGGGTCAAAAAGAACAGCCACTTCATTGTCCTTACAAACCCTACACACTCTCTCCTCCCACAGTCGCTGGTTCTCCAGAGTCAGCCAGTCTGAAAGGGATGGAAACCAATTTACACATCCTTTGGAATTCAGCATGTAACACATTCATAAATATATCTATTATACTCTAATTTTGCACTGGTATCTAGCTATAAAATAAGCAGAAATGTATGGATGATGTTATCTGCCATTTCTTATTTCAATTTGTCTTTTTTTAAGTGGAGAAAAATAAACAAGACATCCAAGACCACAATGCTTGCCTTATTCAAACTCATTTCTCGATTTGACAAAGGGACATGTGAATAAAGCCCATAATTTGATACACATTTCTTTCCCACAATGTAGAAGACACGAGTACAAGCATTGCTCTCCATTTTGGTTGCAAAGAGCTAGGTTCACTTTATGCATAAAATGGCCCTGTGGAGATACCAATTTATTGACTAACACTTTATGTTCCATTTTAAACATCAAGTTAAAGTAGAGACTTAGTGCTTTCATTTCCTATTAAAAAAATTTTCTTCTTAAAGCCACGATCTTGGAAAACAGGCTTCATGGAATTGTAATGTTCTTGAATTTTAAGGAAAACAAGTATATTTGAGTACTTTCACAGAAGAGAAATAATATGAGCGCACCCTCTGATCTGAAAAATGAAACATGTTTTGTAATCCTCAGAAATAGTTCTATCATTTAATAGTTGCATATTTTAGATCAGAGGTTGCGCTCTATATTAAATATCGAAAAATAGCTTTAACTAGAAATATGTCCATAGGACATGAATGCCCCGCCAAGGGTATATTAGTAATGCAACATTTTAACACAAATTGAGAAAAGTGAGGTCAAAGTCAAAGGAAAGGTCAAGGTGAAAAAATATTAATGCAGTTGAATAGCTTACATTAGTATGTATCAGCATATGAAGTTTGACACAAATTTAAAAAAAAGTGAGGTCAAGGTCAAATGAAAGGTCAAGGTCAAAAATTGTTTATGCAGTTGAAAAGGTTACATCAGTAAGTATTAGCATATGAAATTTGATAAAAATATTATGAATGGTTTTAAAACTGAGTTAAACACTAATTTAAGAAAGTGAGGTCAAGGTCAAAGGAAAGGTCAAAGTCAAAAAATATTGATGCAGTTGAATAGCTCTCATCAGTATGTATCAGCATACAAAGTTTGACACTAATTTAAGAAAAGTGAGGTCAAGGTCAAAGGAAAGGTCAAGGTCAAAAAATGTTGATGCAGTTGAATAACTCTCATCAGTATGTATCAGCATATGAAGTTTGATAACATTATCTTGAATGGTTTCTTTAAAAACTGAGCTAAAAACTTATTTAAGAAAAGTGTGGTCAAGGTCAAAGGAAAGGTCAAGGTAAAAAATATTGATGCAGTTGAATAGCTCTCATCAGTATGTATCAGCATATGAAGTTTGTTAAAAATATCTTGAATGGTTTCATTAAAACTGAGCTAAACACTAATTTAAGAAAAGTGAGGTCAAGGTCAAAAGAAAGGTCAAGGTCAAAAAATGTTGATGCAGTTGCATAGCTCTCATCAATATCTATCAGCACATGAAGTTTGATAAAAATATCTTGGATAGTTTCTTTGAAACTGAGCTTTGAACAGAGCTAAACGCAAAGTGTGACGGAAGGACAGACGGAAGACGGACATGACAAACACTATATGCCCCGGCCATATTCATGGTGGGGCATAAAAATTGGCTGTTTTTGTAGAATTTTTCAGGATATGAAGAAAATGACGCATTTCATGACGTCATAATGCATTGACTAGCCAGAAAATTACGTAATTTTTGATAGATACTCAGTCACCAAAGGTCTTAATGATATTTAATGCATTGTCAACTAAAACCAAGCAGTTTCAGTTTTTCTGAAATTCACAGGGCCAAAAAAGGTCCTAAGTGAACCTTGTTCTTTGTAAATTTGGTTCCTCTTGGAGAGAAAATATATGGCATTGCTATACAATCCTCATTTAATGTTAGTAGTTTGACTGTGACATGTCATATCTCTGTGTTGTCTTAATCACTTACCTCGACCATTGTCCTCCATGTCATGTGTCAGGCCTAGCGTGCAGCTGCTTACAGGAGTGCACCTTCCTGCTGTTGAGTCCTTGGTATCATCATCACTAAAATCTATTACTATAAAACACAATTATACCAACATAAATATGATCTTAATAAAGTATACATGATCAACAGAAAACAGGTAGTCTATAGGATTATAGTAAAATCGATGAAGGTTCAGTTAATGTATCATTGGGTCTCTTACTTGGTTACTAGCATTATTGTTAATTTTTCCCTGGCAAGTCTCCCATATTGATATTTTCAACAGATTTAAACTAGTCACTTGTCTTATTGTATAGATATGGTGATTTATGGTGGTCTATGTCTGTGATATGCTCATATGACATAATTAATTAAGATAAAATAATTTGTGAAGGTCTATTTCTGTGAAATGATCATATGTCATATGATACAATGATTTCTGATGGTCTATTTCTGTGATATAATCAGTATTTGATAAGATATAATTTCTGATGATCTTTTTCTGTGATATACTGTAGATTCCTAAATATACGAGTGGAATTAATTATCGTGTAATTTCGTGAGAAATACCACTTGCGAAATAAAATTACTCGCTTTTATTTATATGGTGCTAAAATCCATATGAAATCTCTTAATCAACCATGCACTCGCAAATTACTGTTTTTGCAATTTGACGTCAAAGAGCTATTCTACAATTAAAAGTACTTGTGAAAAATAAGGAATCTCTACAGCAATCAGTACCTGACATGATACAAGGATTTCTGATGGTTTATTTGTTATATAATTAGTATTTGATATATGAGACAATGACTTTTGATTGTCTATTGATGTGGCATATTCAGTATCTGACATAAAGTTCTTACATATAGAATTGTCTTCTGTTTTGTCCTTGGCAGTGTTAACAGGGTTGGAATCTTTATCATCTGTCAACAATTTAGGATTTACAAGTCAATAATTCCTTCAATTACATAGTAGTATAAAAAGTTATGGTTGAGCAATCATGTTTATAGTGATAAAGTTATACTACATTGATTTTTTTTTTAAAAAATAATAATCTAAGTAAGCTTTGACCTCTTAAAGAGCATAAGTGTAGTGAGAATTGTTACCATCTTCCTCCGATGTCCCTGAGAACCAGCTAAACACCCCCCGCACAGCTGACCGGAGCCCAGCCCCAGACAACATGCTTGCTGAGTGGTTCTTTACTTTGACTTCTGAGCTCTGTGAAGACTGTGTTTTCTTGGTCGTCTTTGTAGAAGTAGATATGTGCTTCTCATCAGACTTGGTACATTCTTGTTGATCTTCTGTGACCATTTCCCTGACAGCCACACCTCCTGCTGCAGTCAAGGCTAGGACAGGCACCGCTTTAGTCATGACAGTGGCTGCTACCACAGCACTTACACCACCTGCTGATAGAACAAGTGGTGCTGCCACAACTGTCAATCCACCTACAGCAATGCCACCTCCAACAGCTTTAGCATATTTCCAAATGGAGCCTCAAATAGATTGTAGCAAAATACAATTATACTTATTGATACCTAGTATTGTACTATTACATGTAAGTAGGGAAATTATGAAAAGCATATACATGTACTTTGATATACAGTCAAACCTCGTTATCTCGAACTTCACAGGACCAGGAAAATACTTCGAGATATCCAAGGATTCGAGATAAGGTAAAATACTTAAGAAATAAGAGTTTGGGACTTCAAAATCATTTCGACATATCCATGGTATTCGAGATATCCGTGTTCAAGATACCGAAGTACCGAAGTTCAACTGTAGCTTATAAGAACTCTTGCCATCCAGTCAAAATAATAATTTCATATCTGTACCCGTAATCTTAATGTGTTGACCATAGAATTTGCAAAAATGTTGACTTCAAACAAGAGTGCTGATATCCTTAATCATCAACTTATTTGTCAGTAGCTTGCTTCATTTTAGAAATTGTTCATAGGTAGAACATGCTCTTGTGTATCAACTGGGAGACATAATTTCCATATGCAGGTGATAATGGTATATTGCTACATAAATAAGAATGATAGAAAAGTTGAAGTCATCACGTTTATAGTAGAGTTTAGCTGTTAGATTACCATTAATGTCTTTCTCATGTGAAATATCCAAATATGAAATAGATGTGTAAGACTCTGTGGTGTCTTTTAGTTTGAGTTCAAAGGGATATATCAAATCAATGTAGACCTTGTCGATAGATAAAATGTCATTGATAGATGTATATCTAAATGTTGAATTGAAGGCCAGAGCAGTATACTTTTTCATGTAGAAGTTTTTTAATTAATTCTGCTTTATATAAATACAAAAACAGGTCTGCTAATAACGGGTCACAATTAGTACCCATGGGAATTCCTACACATTGTTAGAAGACCTAGTCTCCAAAAACTACATACATATTGTCAATCAGAAACTTGTGCATCTTTTTAAAACATATGTACATGTGTCAACTTCAGAGTATGTGTGTGTGTAGAATCAGAATGTTTTTATTAAAATAATTTTGCAGATGACTTATGACAAGGTAATGTAAATTTACAAGTTCCATTTTTTATTGAAAAAGCAAATTCTAAGATTTCAAAAAAAAAAAAATGCCTGGTCTTTCATTCATTGTGGGGAGTGGTTGTATAAAGTGTTGAAAAGTCATACAATTTGATGCTATTGATTTTAGTAAAATTTTGTTATGTCATTTCAAGTTTTCGAAAAGTTCCTTGGAATTTTTAAGTACCCACATCTGACTAACACTTCTTCTTGAATATGTTGTTGTACAGTACTCCTGAAGTTTCTCCTTCACTACTATTAATATTTTAGTGAGGAGTAAATATTGATCGATTGATTGTATGTTGTTTTACATCCTGTTAGAGAATTTTTCACTCATATAGAGACATCACCATTTACCGGTGAAGGGCTTCAAATTTCAACCTTTACTCGGTACTCAGGGCCATTAAGCAGTGAGGGTTCTTTATCATGGCAATGCCTACTGTGACACTGGGCCTTGGTTTTTAAGGTCTCATCCGTAGGACCCGCAATTTTCACTTCAAAGTGCCAAGCACTTGGCGAAGAAACAGTTGCTACCTATTTTTTTTATCGACTCAGGTCAGTCGCGGCTGTGATTCAAACACACGACCTTCCGATCATGGACCGAGCACTCTACCGACTGAGAAGAGTAAAGAAAGAGGCTTGGTAGAATATTTACAAGAGCCTGCTACGTATCTTTGTTTGTAAGGATTTTATTTAGTTTAGAAATCCAGTATAGGTATGTGTAATAGTGTTGGATTTGTACAAAAATAAAGTAACAGAACTTGCCAGAAGAGATGTTTTAACTTTTATTTAAATTTGTTATTCAAAACCTAGATCCACCCCTTAGTTCTCCCTTACCTGTACATACATATATATACCTAAGGGCATTGGTCAGGTGTTTTGGAAGTGGTTATTGTTATTTTGGTTTTTATTGGTCATTGATTTGAAAGGTCTGATTCTATTGGTTTTATTGACTGGGTTGGAGTTTTCCCGCTTTATTAAGACCATTCTTTGTTCAATGGTTGATCTGACCAGACTATATATATATTAAAAAAAAAGACATTCTTGACTTTGGACAGATTTCCATTTCTGGTAAGTTACTAATATTATTTCATATTTTAAATGTTCATCCTATAGTATGCAAAAGCCATTTCCATTTGCACTTACTAAAGTGAATGAATGAATTTGAAAGAAAGTTATTTTATGATGTATATTTATTATTGATTACAAGATCAATATTAAGTATTTAACAGAAGTAATTTGATGTTAATCAGATTATATGTTTTTATGATGATCAAAGATATATTTGATGATATTGTTCAAAGTGAGCAATTGATATATATTTTTAAAGGGATAATATTTTTAAATAAATTGTATTAAATTACAGATCACCATTCATGTAGATACTTCTATATTAACAATTTGTGGGAAAGCCTATTCCCATAGAATGGTGAGATTTAGATTTATATGTTTTTAATCTGGAATATATTTTTTATGAATATTATGGGAGTAATTAATATGTAAAGATTTATATATTCAAGAGTTATCTCCCTTTGATGACAGTGTAAATATTATAAATGATGATAATCTAATTATTATCTTCATGTAAAATAATGAACATTGTGTGTGATAATTATTTACATTATATTTATTGTTGTTTTATGATATTTACAGGGCTTACACAATACAACACAATATATATAATCACTCCACTGTGCAATAAATCTGATGAACCCTGACAGGAGTGTTGTTTTATATACTTCCATAGTGATACCCCTGTTACATATGGTAATTCAAATTCAGTTTGGTTGTTGGGAATATTAAAAATATTTAAAACTGACATATGGTTGTGAAGAATTTCCTCCTTAGAAAGAGAAGTATGTGTATAGGTTGGATTACTACTTGTAGAATTAACTGGTTGAAAGTTATAACACCACTAGTCATGAGCATTTATGGGCTTTTTTCTAACATATTAACTCAAAATCAACATGCATCATTTGATATTAGACCTGCCTTCATTTTCTACTGTTTCCATCATATCCTCCTCTTTCTCTGCGAGGAAGTCTCCATCAGTTTTCTTCCTTAAGTTCAGAAACTTTGCATATTCATGAAGCAACTGTATTCTGTTCCCTGTCAATGGATAAAATGAATAAATGTACTGAAATCTTATGTCACCTTTAATACAAAAGAATAACATATTTTGCTCTTATTGAAAAAAAACAAGGAAATAAAACATGTCTACATTTAATTTTCATATGGATTATTTATTGACATGACTGTAAAATATGACAGTGATCTGTCTTTTAGGTAGAAAAGAGTGCATGTTCTGTAAGATGAAGACACAATGTAAACAGATGGACAAAGCCATGTTATTATTGTAATTAAAGTCTGCACCTCTCACATATATCACAAAATTCTATCATAAAATTGTAGCCAGCTGTTGGATCTTGGATCCACCTATTTTTGTGGTTAAGATAGTGTAGTGTCTTCATTGTTTGTCTGTTGTTCATTTTGTTTGTCTGTCATGTGATTCAGTATAATAGAGAGAAAGGAATGTATGAGATTGTGAGTGAGTTGTATTCACTACTAACAAAACCCATTTTTAAACTACCTCCCCGCCTATACCCATGCACATCGTCAAGTTAGAAGCATTTATCTAATTTATGAAGAAGATACTAGTACAGGGTGATGTAGGCTGGTAAGGTTTTATCTTTTTCTTACTACATGTATATTAATAATTCATGATTTCAAGTTATATATATATATATATATATATATATATATATATATATATATATATATATATATATATATATATATATATATAAGTCATTTAAATGTAAAGTTGATGTTGTAAGATTTGTAATATGGATATTTAAAGTTAGTGAACTGCGTGTCAAGTATGAAATCAATGTTTAGTATGTTATATGAATGTTGTAGGTTTTTCTCCATATATAAATTATAAAAACCCAAGAATTAAGTGTTCTTCTGGTCTCTACCGACGGGTTACAAAATGATTGGTAAAATGGCAGTATATTGTTTTGTAAAGACTGAAAGATGTCCATTATAAACATGCAGTGAATACTGTGGTTTCATCAATATTCGTTGAGCACCAATTTTCGAGGATTTCGTTGTTGGGCAGATCCACGAACTTAAATGTTCATTGATTTACGAAATATATTATTCATTTATATAGGCAATGCTTTTGTCCACGAAATTACGTATCCTCGAAAACATCTGTTTTACAAAATACACGAAAATTGATGCCAACGAAAATTGATGAAACCACAGTAACATATAGTTCTGTACCAGTGCATCTTATTATCTTTGCTGTGTGGAGTCTATCCCCGACAAAGTACGGGGCCAGGCATGTGTCTCCCTCTCCAAGTCCAGCTTGTTCCCCTGTGTCCCCCATCAAGGTTTCCACCTCCTGTAGGCTGATTGGGTGGCTGACGGCATCTTCACTAGGGAAGTACACTATAATCCACACTGAAAAACATAATGTTTATACAATGCTTGAACATAATTACTTGCATATATATAAACAAGATAAATACTATATAAACATGATGCCTAATTGTAACCCGAGCATCTATTCTTAAGAAGATTTCTAACATGCTTTCCTTTATATTTAATTTATATTCCTAAGTTAAAACTATATATGACCCCTTATTGTAGCCCCACAAAGCTCCCGTTGACAAACGGACTCTCAGAACTGATAAGTTCACTAATTAATTGATCTTTAGGCTCAAGTGAGCGGAAAAAATAAAGTAGTTGGTCACTAAAAATTGTATAATGTGTAATATCATGTCTCTAATGATGATCAACTGGCGATAATCCCTTAGAAGTATATCTCACATTTCTTCTGCCTGGAGGAAGATTCTGGGTTTGAGGTCCCTCTTTGATTGACACGTGTGTCCATCATAAACTTCAACTGGTCTGCAGTTTGCATTGATAAAATGACAACAAAATCTGCCAGCAAAAAAATCTGTCCACATCCAAAAGTAATAGCTCTATATGGCTGTCATAGCTAGGAAATCGTGCGATCGACAAGAAATTGCACTCCAACTGCAATGTATTAGTAAACAAATGTCAGCTGGTACTCTTTGCCTATTTAAACGAGAACCAGTAAAGAACGTGATGCATATAGACACCTGAGGCTATTCATTATGCAAGTTTTTTTTTCTTTCAAACTTCCTTTTCCAAAAATGAAACATTAAAGTAAACATCACCTCACATTTGCACTTTCGCTGCAGTGCCCACAATTTTTCCCCCCGCTCTCGTGAAAGCGAGGGGATATTAAATCAATCTGTCAGTCTGTGACAAAAACTTTAATCTTGATCATAACTTTTGAATGAGAATAGCTAGGGCTTTCATACTTCACATGTACATTACCTGTGACATGACCTTTCAAATATACTATGACTTTTGACCTCGTGATCTTGACCTTGAAGTTTGGCCTACTTTTCAAAAAATTTAACATGACTTTAAATTTAGTCATAACTTTTGAATGAGAAGAGAAAGGGTTTTCATATTTCACAAATACACTACCTTTGACAAAATCTTTCCAAATATACTCTTATTTTTTGACCCTGTGACCTTGACATTGAAAGTTAAACGCCATTTTCAAAAAAATTAACATTGATTATAACTTTTGAATAAGAGAAGAGAGGACATTCATATTTGACGTGTGCATAACCTGTACATGCACGGATCTAGAGGCCCCCCCCCCCGGAATTTGCAGAGTTATTAAAAGTATATACTGAAGCAAATAAAAAGGCCTTTGGAACCACCCCCACTCACCCATCCCCCCTCACCTCACAAAGAAAACGTGGATACGCACACCACCACTAAGAAATAGGTGTTTTTCAACGTTAGGGATTTTTTTTTTTTTTTTTTTTTTTTGGCTTGTCAAGAAATTTTCTGGGTTTAATAGGTTTGGTTAAGGAATTTAGGTTTTTCCCTTTTTTTTTTTTTTTTTTTTTTTTTTTTGCTTGTCAAGAAATTTTTGGGTTTGAAATCTTTTTTGGACTGGGGTGGACCCCCCCCCCCCCCCTGGAAAAAATTCCTGGATCCGCGCCTGCCGTGACAAGACATTTCCAAACATGCTATGATTTTTTACCCTGTGACCTTGACCCTGAAGTTTGACTTAATTTTCAAAAAATTTAACATAACTGCTAAATTAGAAGAGAGAGGGCTTTCATAGTTCACATGTACATGGACTTTTCCAAATATACTATGACCCCGTAACCTTGAAGTTTGACCTAATTTTCAAAAAAAAAAAATATATTGATTATAACTTTCGAAAAAGGAAAGATAGGGCATTCATATTCGACATGTGCACTATCTGTGACAAGACTTTTCTGAACATGCTATGATGTTTGACCCCTTGATCTGGACCTAATTTTCAAAATAATTTTGCATCGGTGATAATTTTTGAATGAGAGAAGATAGGACGTATCAGTGGCGGATCCAGATGGGGGTACGGGGGTTGCAACCCCCCCCCCCTTTGGATTAGCTAAGAGAGAGAGAGAGAGGGGGGGATAGAGAGAGGAGAGATTTATTTTTCCAGCAACGGTTTTGCTTTCGTCTAGTTTTACGGTACCACATACTTTTTCGTGAAGTGATGCTTTAATTACCGGTTTTAAGTCAACATCATAAACGTGATATTTTGAATGATCAATTCATGGATTATCTACATGAAACGAGATGGAGATTGACATCTGATTATAATTATAATACATGTATTAATATGTATTATATCCAAGTTTATCGAGTTTGAATATCCAAAATATCTGCAGTTGCTGTGGAACTAAAAATGGCTCATTTATTTAAAACCAGAAGTATCTGACGAGACTGTAGCTCTACTGGTTTGTACTTATAACGAAGGAAGATGAAAGTAGCACCTGGACTTGAAACTTTGCAACAGCAATAAATAGAATAATGATCCCTGGTTTAGTCTTTTTTGTGGCAAGATTTATTATAGTCAGAATAAAACTGTAGGAGTAGTAGCCTTTTGAAAGTATTTTACAGAAATTTCGATTTTAGTAATCATGGCATCATTCAACAAAATAAAAAAAACAATAAATACAATTATGTATCTTAGTGTAGTCTACTTGTGTGCCAAGTTATATATACTGAAATTAGACCAAAACTGTAGGAAGAGTAGCATTTTGAAAGTATTTCAAAGAAATTTCTATTTTTAGTAACCATGGCAACACCGTTCATCGAAATCAAAAACCAATAAATAGAATTACATGTATGTATCTTAGTGTAGTCTACTTGTGTGCCAAGTTATACTGAAATCAGATCAAATCTGTAGGAGGAGTAGCATTTCGAAAGTATCTCAAGGAAATTTCTATTTTTAGTAACCATGGCAACATCGTTCATCGAAATCGGAAAAAAATGATGTACAGAATTATGTATCTTAGTTAAGTCTATTTGTGTGCTAAGTTATACTGAAATCAGACCAAAACTGTAGGAAGAGTAGCATTTTGAAAGTATTACAGAGAAATTTCTATTTTTAGTAACCATGTCAACACCGTTCATCGAAATCAAAAACCGATACACAGAATTATGTATCTTTATGTAGTCTACTTGTGTGCCAAGTTATACTGAAATCAGAACAAAACTGTAGGAGGAGTAGTGTTTTGAAAGTATTTCCCAGAAATCTCTATTTTTAGTAACCATGGCAACACCGTTCATCGAAATTAAAAACCAATAAACAGAATTACGTATCTTAGTGTAGTCTACTTATGTCCCAAGTTATATTGAAATCAGACCAAAACTGTAGGAGGAGTAGCGTTTTGAAAAATTGTTTACAGACAGATAGACAGCTAGAGAGACAGGCAGACAGACGGACGGACGACGGACACCTTACTATCGCATAAGCTCTTCTGACCAGTAGAGCTAAAAATTGAAATTTTACATAACTTTAAAGAGAGTATTTACTGTTTTCAAATCCAATATAACACCGCTGTGGTCGAGGGGATATACTTATGTTTCTGCTTGCAAAAGCAGTGTTTCTTGTATTGTTTGTTTTTATTTTTGGCTTTTTTCCCTTTGAAAAACTACTCGATTCAAATAATCACAAAACAGGATGTGGTAGCACGGTAGATATTTACTTACAATAACACAAATTTTAGAATTTTCTCACGCACTCTAAAACGGATCTATCTACTAGATAAAATACTGGGCTTTTAAAGGGCAAATTTTCAAAATTTTCAAATCACTAAAGGTGGCCTGATTCACATTTAAATTTGAAATTTAATATTTTATATAATTTTTTTATATATAAAATTTTAATTTTACACGTATCTAATCACTTTCTTTTTTATAACAGGTGTTGCATCAGACCCGTAGAACGCGGGGATGGGGCATTTTTTTTTTTACTGAGTATAGTTAGCATATTCTAGGATTTGGACAATTAATTATAATTTTTTTCTTTTTGGCAGCCCCCCCCCCCTTCAAAGGTTGAAACCGTTGCTACGGGCCTGAGTATTCTCCTATTAAGTTGTCGTTTAATTATGTGAACGACCGGTATAACAACTTATCTCCTCTTCAACCCCCTTTAGAAAAATTTCTAGATTCGCGCCTGGGTAGCGATGGTATAAAAGGTTGCCTTTATAAACAGTATCATACAAGTTTATCACAGAATCAGTTAAAATTCGGTGATCGGAATAGTTAAAGAAAGAAACACGGACGTTCAAAGAAAAAAAGCCCCAGCATATGTGTAAGGAAACACTTGGGCCACCTTTAAAATAATGTTTGTTTGCCCTCTCCCGACTCAGGATGAAAAAAAATGGGTCGGTAGGTAGGTATGACCTTGACCTCACTTTTCTTAAATAAGTGTTTAGCTCAGTTTTAAAGATACCATTCAAGTAACGAACGGTGAAATAATGGAATTAAAGATCAGTGCCAGGGATTCCTCTAAATTTCCCGTGAGACATTCAGTTCACGGTAAATTATTCATGCAAATTTCAATAAGATTATCTTGTGAGATATTGATAATTAACGCTGTTAATTTTCTACATTGCTCATATTAAAAGCTTTTTCAGTTCTGTTTATTTATCTGCGTCGCCTTTTGTTTTCGTTTCAATATTACCTGTAGCTGTCCAATAAGTTGAATCTTATTGGACACCTACAGGTAACTTATTGGACAGAGTGCAGGACAATAAGAAACTTACTGAACCAGTTTAAAGAAAAGGCGATGTCACCCCCAAAAAATTTATTCCCTTCATTAAAGGAAGGTTTGTGGCAAGTTTGGTTAAAATTGGTCAAATACTGATTCTGAAAGAGCACTTAAGAACCCTCTCTACACTGCACAATAAAGAGTTCTGATTCTATGGTATTTTTCTGCAGTTAGAGTGATCTGCCCTTAGATCTAAATTCTAAAAAAAAAAAAAAAACAAAAGAAATGTACAGTATAGTACTCAATTTGTAATTAATTCAAGTATTCTTAACATTTTAAAATGCCAAGATAAATAAATTGACCATGTTATTTACATGTATTGTCTCTATGGAAGTAAACAGCACTGATTTCTATTCACTGATACTGTTTGAACATTTTTCCTGGGGGTAAATACCACATACCATAGAGTGAAAATTAAATAGATAAGCTCAATATTAACACCTTTATACAATATATTTTTCTCAATATCCAAAACACTTTGTACTGGTGTAGAGAGGGTCCTTAAAATATGAAAAGTTTATAGATAACACACAGACAGATGCTGTACACCCTTTCATTAGAAAGCTCATTTGAGATTTTAGCTCAGGTCGAGTTAAAAAGCTCTGAATAACACGGAAGTAGTGATTTTTAAACGTCTGTGTATGTAACTATTTTATAAGCCACATTGCCATACTGATCCCTGGCATCATAGTATGCAGATGTGGCTCAAGAAAATCACCACAAAGAAAAGCTTTATATTGATAAAATGGTTTTATTTCAATAACAAACACAGCTTTATAATCTTAGAATCAAATTTAATGAAATGATAGACCATGAAGTGATGCTCTGCATCGAAATTTGACCACAAACATTCCAGAAAGTCATCGTAATTATTTCTACTGTAAGTTGTCTTATTGACTAAACTGGAAATTCTGTTAACAGCATTAATGTTTTTAAGAGAGTTATCCTGGTGGCCACCCCATTTGTCGTCCACTCAGCACATGTATATGTAAGTGATACACCGACTGACCACCTATTGGACCATCATTGATTACCAGGCGATAGCCCTCATTCAAACCACGCTGCTTAGCAACCTTCTTAGCTACCAGAACTAGGTGTCCGAGGAGCTGCAATTCAGAATAAGAGAATTTCATTACTGAGGTGTTTAACCCTTTCTGCAGCTTTCAGTAATGTAATCTGAGCTTTTTGTCAGTAATCTCATGTTGGCAATACACTGGCATATTAAATTTTCTATATGCATTTGATAATACATGTATTTAATTATAAGGGATTTTTTTTTTGATTGATAAATTATCTTCTGTTTTATAAACATTACATAAAACAAGAGGCCCAAGGGACTTAACGGTCACCTGAGTATAACACAACAATTTACAAGATCCATAGACTCTGAGAATAAAATAAACTGATAGATGAAGCTTTGTTGCCCAAAAGCAAGAGAAATAGAATGATCAGGATCAATGAAATAATTAGTCTAGTATTTAGTAACAACTCATACATTACATTCTAATCTATTCCCCATTTAGCACTATCACCATGCAGACTATTAACAAACTATTAATTCTTCCGTACTACTTTTAACCCCATATTGTGACCTCTCATATTGATTAATTATCAAAAGTGAATGGCAAAGGGGAATAACTTCTCTCAGTTGAATACACATTAATGGAGCCCTGGCCAGGACCAGAACACTTGACCAAATGGTCCTGATGTTCAAAAATCTGGTAAAAATATCCTTGCTTATTAAAACTTTTTATTAAATTTGCCTTCAATATGCCAACGGGCAGAGAAGATTTTCAAAGAAATAATGCATTTTCACTACAGATTCAACACAGCCCTACCCTAACACTAAAACCCATGACCAAGGCTCATGAAATTCTCGAATTTGGTAGAGGTACCCTCTTCATCATAAGTATGCACTTAGTTGAAGATTTTCAAAGAATTTACACATTATCAATATAGCCCCCCCCCCCCCTCCAAGCCCGAGAAACACCAAAACCTGGGGACCACAAGTTTTAAAAATTTTGTAAGAAGCAAAATTGTTCATCATAACTATGCACTTTGTTTATCTGCTCAACACTAAAGAGCAGACACAATTATTTAACAGAATTAATGCATTTTCACTATATTATCAATAGAGCCCCACCTTCACACCAGAACATCTGACTTAGGGGCCATGAAACTCACAATTCTGGAAGAAGCACTCTTGTTCATCATAACTATGTACTTAGTTTCTTTGCTTCATATCCAGGAGCAGAAAAGAATATTTTCAAAGAAATTATGCTTTTTCACTATATAATCAATAGAGCCCCCCCCCCCCCCCCCCACCCTGGGGCCATGAATTTCACAATTTAGGAAAAAGCATCTGTGTGCATCATAACCCTGCACTTAGTTTGTTTAAATAATACCCAGGAGCAGATTTTCAAAGAATTAATTTATTTTCACTACATAATCACTAGAGCCCCACCCTTACACCAGAGCCCCTGACCCTTGGGCCATGAAATTAACAATTTTGGAAAAAGCATCCTTGTGCATTTTAACCATGCACTTAGTTTGTTTATTAATAAATAATACCCAGGAGCAGAGAAGAAGATTTTCGAGAATTAATGCATTTTCACTATATAATCAATAGAGCCCCGTCCTAACACCAGAACCCCTGACCCGTGGGCCATGAAATTCACAATTTTAGAAAAGGCATCAATGCTTATTATAACCATGCACTTAGTTTGTTTAAATAATACCCAGGAGCAGAGAAGAAGATTTTCAAGAATTAATGAATTTCCACTATATAATCAATAGAGCCCCGTCCTAACACCAGAACCCCTGACCCAGGGGCCCTGAAATTCACAATTTTGGAAGAGGCTGTCTTGCGCATCATAACTATGTACTTAGTTACTTTATTTAATACCCAGGAGCAGAGAAGAAGATTTTCAAAGAATTAATGCATTTTCATTACATCAATAGAGCCCCTCCCTAACACCAGAACCCCTGACCCATGGGGCATGAAATTCACAATTTTGAAAAAAGCATCATTGCTTATCATAACCATGCACTTAGTTTGTTTAAATAATACCCAGGAGAAGAGAAGAAGATTTTCAAAGAAATAATGCTTTCACTATATGATCTATATAGCCCCACCCTAGCACCAGAACCCCTGACCCTGGGACCATGAATTTAACAATTTTGGTAGAGGGCCCAATGCTTATTACCATCAAGCCAAAAGTTTGACTACTTGATGCCCAGGAGTAAAGAAGAAGATTTTTAAAGATTGCATCAATTTTAGTGGTTTTAGCCTCACCCCTGGGGCCCCAGGGGGGCAGGGACCATGAAATTCACATTTTTGTTTCCCTTCACCCAAAGATGCTATATGCCAAAATTGGTTGAAATTGGTTGAGCGGTTCTAGAGAAGAAGTTGAAAATGTTCAAAAGTTAACGCACAATGGATGATGCACGTCACACGACAAGACAAAAATGGATAGCAATAGGTCACCTGAATGAAGGAGTACCATTCTGGAAATATGACGTCATTAATATGATGCATTTCTCTATTTTCAACAGAAAAAGCCTTAAAATGACCAATTTCAAGAGTTATTTTCCTCAAGAAAATAGTGTCCACAGCCTTCGCCCACTTTAATTTTTCAATATGTTGTGTAAATTTCTTTGAAAAATCACATATCTCAAAATCTTTGTGGGCGATGCCTGTGGACAATATTATCTGAAAGAAAATTCCATTGAAAATTAGTGTCTTCTGCAACTTTTTGAGAAAATACGGGAAAATGCACAAGTTTATGACGTCACAACTAGCATTTAAAAGGTCATGTGAGAAAAATTATTTGTATGGTCTTTCTGCATGGAATTTCAATGATTCAGAAAGCATGAGTTCTGATTTTTTTACATCACTTTCATTTTTAAGAAAAACAAGATTTTTATTGAAATCGTACCTTCTTCTTTAAATCTACACTTTGTCAGGAATCTTTCTCAAAAGTTTCATCCTTTCTGGCCCCGTGGTTCTTAAGAAGAAGATTTTTAATTGACGCCATCGAAGTTTTACTTTTTCTTAATTATCTCCCCTTGGAAAAGGGTGTGGTCCTTCATCTGAAGAAACTTGAATCCCCTTCACCCAAGGATACTCTGTGCCAAGTTTGGTTGAAATTGGCCCAGAAACTCTGGAGAAGAGGATAAAATTGAACAAGAGGCCCATGGGCCATATCGCTCACCTGAGCACATTGGCTAGACAAAAGCACAAATCAGTTCAGTATTGAAAAGATTATGGGGGGGGGCTTGAATTTTAAACTACCTGATGATGCTTCCATGTCAATATAACAAATGGCTTTGTTGTACTTGAGAAGATATTAAAAAAAAATTCCCATATATTCCTTTGTAAAAATTTTATCCCCCATTGTGGCTCCTCCCTATCCAAGGAGTCATCATTTGAACAAACTTGAATCTACACTCCTGAGGATGCTTCCATATCAATATGACTAAACATAGCTTTTCTGTTCTTGAGAAGAAATATTTTTTCTATATGTTCTTATGTAAAACTTTCCATCCCCCATTGGGCCCCATCCTACCCCCGGGGGTCATCATTTGAACAAAATTGAATCTACACTACCTGAGGATGCTTCCATATCAAAATGACTAATCATGGCTTCCTGTTCTTCAGAAGAAGATATTTTCCTTTATATTTCTATGTCAAACTTTGATCCTCCATTGTGGCCCCACCCAACCCCCAGGGGTCATGGTTTGAACAAACTTGAATCTACACTACCTGAGGATGCTTCCATAAAAATATAACTCATCATGGCTTTGCTGTTCTGGAGAAGAAGATTTTTAAAGATTTTTCCTATATATTTCTATGTAAAACTTTGATCCTCCATTGCAGCCCCGCCCTACCCCCGGGGGTCATGATTTGAACAAATTTGAATCTACACTACCTCTAGCTGCAGAACTGTAGCTCTATGCTTGAGAAAATTCGGACAGACAAAGCAGAGAGCTACAGATCCACGCGTTGTAAAAACCTTCGATTTATGCCGCCGCTTTTTTGTCGCTCACATCGGGTATTATTTCTTGTATTTTATGCTTCCCCTCACTTTAAAAATAGTATCCGATAATTAAGCATATATTTTACTCATATTCTTGATACCTTATTTACCTTTCAACGGTCTCAAACAGCCCTGGTATGGTTTTGGAATGTCGGTTTTAAAAAATCCCATTCCGACGTCCATATTAGGGGTCGTGAGAAAAATTAGTCTTTCAAAAAACATATACTTGCCGAGAAAATGTAAATAAAATATTCAGGAGGTTCAAATATCATGTATTTTGTCTACAAAGAATATAATATGTATGTAAAAAAGAAATGAGATAAATAAAACCAAAAATTGAAAACTCGGGCGTGTTATTTCAGGATGACACCAACGTCGACGTCAGAATGCATTTATTCTAAAGTCTGGAACCATTGAAAGGTAAATAAAGTTTCAGGAAAGGAGTAAAATATATGATTAATTATTGGATACTATTTTTAAAGTGGGGGAAAGCAATAAATACAAGAAATAATACCCGAAGCGAGCGACAAAAAAGCGGCGGCGTAAATCGAAGGTTTTTACAACGCTTGGATCTGTAGCTCTCTGCTTTGTCTGTCCGAATTTTCTCAAGCAGAGAGCTACAGTTCTGCAGCTACACTACCTGAGGATGCTTCCAAATAAATATGACTCATCATGGCTTTGCTGTTCTTGAGAAGAAGACTTTAAAAGATTTTTCATATGTAATACTATGTTAAGCTTTGATTGCCTATTGTGGCCCCACCCTAACCCTGGGGGTCATGATTTGAACAAACTTGAATCTACACTACCTGAGGATGTTTCCATATAAATATGACTCATCATGGCTTTGCTGTTCTTGAGAAGAAGATTTTTAAAGATTTTTCCTATATATTTCTATGTAAAACTTTGATCCTCCATTGTGGCCCGCCCTACCCCTGGGGGTCATGATTTGAACAAACTTGAATCTACACTACCTGAGGATGCTTCCATATAAATATGACTCATCATGGCTTTGCTGTTCTTGAGAAAAAGATTTTTTCTATATATTTCTATGTAAAACTTTGATCCTCCATTGTGGCCCCGCCCTACTACCGGGGGTCATGATTTGAACAAACTTGAATCTACACTACCTGAGGATGCTTCCACATGAGTTTCATCTTTCCTGGCCCTATGGTTCTTGAGAAGAAGATTTTTAAATGATGCCATTATTTTTTCACTAATTCCTTATTATCTCCCCTTGAGAGAGGGCGTGGCCCTTCATTTGAACAAACTTGAATCCCCTTTACCCAAGGATACTTTGTGGCAAGTTTGGTTGAAATTGACCCAGTGGTTCTTGAGAAAAGTCAAAAATGTGAAAAGTTTACAGACAGACAGACGGACAGACAGACAGCTAGACAGACGGACAGACAGACGGACACCGGACAAAATGTGATCAGAAAAGCTCACTTGAGCTTTCAGCTCAGGTGAGCTAAAAAGTTTATGATGACGATAACAACAAGGATGACAGACAATGAACAAATTTTGATCAGAAAAGCTCACTTGAGCCTTCTGCTCAGGTGAGCTAAAAATGGGTCACTCAATAAATACCAAACTCATATTTGATCTGTAAGTCATCAATACAAAGAGACAAACCAAAGGGCAATATCTAAATGCTCAGCGAAAAGAAGGTCTGGAAAAAGTTTATTAGAAATTTTCAAAGTCTGAGGGCCAAAACAAACTTATAAGAATGGGTCAATCAACATGAAACTTAAAGTTGATCCGTAAGTCATCAATATCAAGAGACATACCAAAAACAAGATGTGTTTGTGAAACACTATGCCCCCGTATGGCAGCTTATGTCGAAGGTTAAAGTTTCTCAAATGCAAGTCAAAATCCAGGCCAAAAGATAAAAAATGTTGATACCCAAAGAAAGATCTTGTCTCGAGGAAAACACCTGTGAAATTTGAAAGACCTAGATACAACTGTTCAAAAGTTATGGTGAAGGTTAAAGTTTTTTAAATAAAAGTCAAGGTCAAGGTCAAAGTGGTTGGTATCCAAAGGAAGATCTCGTCATAAGGATTACATATGTGAAGTATGAAAGCCCTAGCACCAACCATTCAAAAGTTATGGCCAAGGTTAAAGTTTTTCAAAAGTAGGTCAAACTCCTAGGTCAAGGTCAAAGGGTCAAAGTGGTTGGTATCCAAAGGAAGGTCTTGTCACATGGATTACATATGTGAAGTATGAAAGCCCTAGCATCAACCATTCAAAAGTTATGGCCAAGGTTAAAGTTTTTCAAAAGTAAGTCAAACTCCTAGGTCAAGGTCAAAAGGTCAAAGTCATTGGTATTCAAAGGAAAGTCTTGTCACAAGGATTATATATGTGAAGTATGAAAGCCCTAGCACCAACCATTCAAAAGTTATGGCCAAGGTTAAAGTTTTTCAAAAGTAGGTCAAACTCCTAGGTCAAGGTCAAAGGGTCAAAGTGGTTGATATCCAGAGGAAGGTCTTGTCACAAGGAATACACATGTGAAGTTTGAAACCCTAAGCACCAACTGTTCAAAAGTTAAGGCCAAGGTTAAAGTTTTTCAAAAGTAGGTCAAAGTCCAAGGTCAAGGTCAAAAGGTCAAAGTAGTTGGTATCCAAAAGAAGGCCTTGTCACAAAGAATACACATGTGAAGTTTGAAACCCCAAGCTCCAACTGTTCAGAAGTTATGGCCAAGGTTAAAGTCTCATAAAATTTTGCAAAAGTGGGTCAAACTCCAAGGTCAAGGTCAAAAGGTCATATATGATGGTACCCAAAGAAAGGTCTTGTCACAAGGAATACACATGTGAAATATGAAAGTCATAGCTCCAACCAATCAAAAGTTATGGGCAAGGTTAAAGTTGACAACAGACAGACAGACAAACAGACAAACAGACAAACGGACAAACAGACAAACAAACAGACAAACAGACAGACAGGACAAAAACAATATACCCCCGGGATCTTTCGATCTGGGGGCATAATTAGGTATTATCTCCAGGTACAGCAAAATAAAATCTTGAAAAGTGAATTATTAGTTTACTACAAATTTTCAAATCCTAAGGGAAATAACTTTTGTAAAAATGGGTCAATCAACATGAAACTCAAACTTGATCTGTAAGTCATCAATTATATCAAGAAACATACCAAAATCCAGCTCAATATCCACAAACAAAGCAAAAAAAAGTTTGGAAAACAGTGGATGATTAAAAGTTTTCAGAATCTAAGGGCCATAACTTTGGTAAAAGTAAATCGTCAATCAACACAAAACTCAAAACTAGGTCTGTAATATCAAAAGACATACCAAAAATCAATTCATTACTTTCAAGCATAGCAAAAAAAGTTCCAAAAACTATGATGGTATGAGTGAATGATGGATGGAAAGGGGCAACACTTTATACCCCGGCCATTTCATGACGGGGGGATAAAAATAAGATTCATTATAATATGAATGAGTATGTATAAAGTACAGCTAGTTGTTATACTGACCTGCTCCTCACTGTCCTCCGCCTCTGACAGTCGAGACAGAGGCTTCTTAGGAATCACCAGGAAGTGGACAGGAGCTTGTGGAGAAAGGTCATTGAAAGCCACACACTACAATAAAACAAAAAAAAAACCCAACTAATTCAATCAATAAGTCAGCTTTCTCACATTGCTAGCATACAATATTAAAGATCAGTTTATAATACATACATTATTTGGGTTTCTTTTTTATTAATTTATCTTTTTTTTGGACCTTCAAAAAAACAAATTAAGAAAATTATCATGAAATTTGCATGAAATTATTGCTATTTTCACTGTTTGAACTCTAGATGGCTAACACTTTATTGCACATCATAAAACTCTATTTTTTAGCAACAAACTGGAAGCTACTGTTAAGAATGACTGTTACATGTATAATACCAGAGACATAACAAAGTAAATGCAATAATGTAGCCCTCTCAAATTTTTTTTGGCCTCTCCTGAAATATCACATAAAAAATATCAGAAAGGGCTACATTATTGCAGCTAATAACAAAGATCCTCAAGCATTCAAAATCTTGCTGTGCTTAGCATGTTTAGTATATTTTGTTTACTTTTTTCCAAAACTTTCTCCCTTTTAATCACATAAATCTTTAAAATTATCAAGAATAACAAAGTAGGACCTTTTTATTAATTCATATCAACAAGCTACTAAGAATGTTATTTTTTGTAAGTTTCTTTATATTATGTAAATATTGCATGTAGTAGTAGAGTGTAACATTGAAATTTTTCACCCCAAGAAAACCATTGTGAACCAAGTTGCAGCCAAGGTTGAAAATGGAGGGGGGGGGGGGGGGGATTTTCAGTGTTACACTCAATTTGATGCAATATCTAATATATACATTTGTGGTATCTCTCTATTATATAAACATACAGAGAGCAAATATCTTCATACCTGTATGAAGTTTTTCGAAGGTCATAGGTCATTACGTGACCTAATCACACAGCGCAGTAATATCTACATAAAAAGACTTACTCTACTTAGCACTATAGCATGTTTTTCATGCATAAAAATGAACAAAATACCCAAGTAAAATAATAATCATTTTATTTACAATGTAAACGAGTAATTAATACAGTTCTTGATCGATTTTACATAGAGAATAGAAAACTACATATTATAAATTTCATGTCTGAGCTGCATAGTCTCAACGTTTACCCTTATTTTTCTTGTAGACCTCTGAATGCTATTTTTTTTTCATTAAACTTTACTCACAATAAATTTGAAAATCTGTTGGAAAGTATCAATGTAATGCAATCACGCCACAAACAGCTGACAAACACTGCACTTCGGAAGTTCGGTAGGCACACCTCCATCATCGAGATTGTTGTCTTAACAATGTAAGCTGTCACCTGTGTCTCCGTGTTAACCACTGTTAATATCATAATAAATATGCTGTATTGAAATCGTAGATTTTATGTTTCTGATCAAATTTTAAATTTGATTCCAAGTTAACTGGTCTGGACAAGTGTCTCCATCCATCCCTTTCCGACCGAAATTCCTCCAACTTTTTATTATCAAACATCGGACGTGTTTCTTGTGTTTTTTTTACATCGAATATGGGTTCTCACAAATACAAAAATTCCCAGACACCAATATGCTCACTCTAATTGATCACAAGTAGCCTTTCACAGAATATTCCCTTCAAAACAGAATCCTTTGCTAGAGGAATTTGAAGCGTAACCGCTTTTCAAGCCGATTTACACCTTGCGTAATTTGTCAAAGTCTACGACGAACAGTTAGTGCAATATTTATATTCGATTATATTCAATTGTCCGTCTCAGATGTATATATAAGTAATAAATAACAAGTTTAAAAACTTCAATGGGAATTGAAGTGGGTCGGTATGTGATCAAATCTTCTGAGAAGGCCTTCGACCTTCACAGGATTGGGAAGGTATAATGTCCTGATAATATAATGGCACCGTGTAATTCATGGACTGGAGGCATGGAATGGAGTTATGGAGTGGACTTTGGAGTGGAGTTTGGAGTCAAATTTTGGAGTCTAAGATTTTTTTAAATTTGATTTTTGCTATTTAGAACAAAATTCTTCAGGTGACAACTCTGTAGTTTATTATATTCCCATGTTGCTATAAAGCACCAGCTATTGCAACAATTAACATAACCTCCTGTTACTAAAATTAGGTTATCTTGTTGAATCACCTTAAAATCTGCTTAAAAACAGACAAATAATGTTTCTTTCTACTTGTTTAAGTGGTGTCATTCATGCCCATTTGATATTACGTAATTCATTTCAAAGTATTTTTCTGCTCCTTTGGCCTGAGATTTTCCGATTGTTTAAGCAAATTTATTCTTTATTGCAATACCCCCAAAATAAGAGTTTCTGAATGTGAGCTTAACATTGATCAATCTTGGTATAAATATCAGATTTAATTTGTCGTATTGACGTATAGAATAAAGATACAAAATTCTTCAGGTGACAACTCTGCAGTTTAATTATATTCCCGTGTTGCTATTGGAAGTGATGCGTGTGTTCCTTGGAAAAGTGTAGATGAACATTTTAGTTTATATTTCTGTAACTTAAAACTAGAAATATGTCCATAGGACATGAATACCCCATCCAGTGTATATTAGTAATGCAACATGAAAATTTATATTAGTGTATGAAGTTTGAAGAGAGTATCTTGAAAAGTTTCTTTAAAATTGAAATTGAAATTTTTTATTGGATAAAAATGATAAATTCTCACCAGATTATGTATAAATGTATTAAGTGCATAAGCTTACATAAAGATATCTTAAACGGTTTCTTTAAAACTAAGTAAAATGCAAATTAAAGAAAAGTGAGGTCAAGGTCACAGGAAAGTGCAAGGTTAAAAGATCTGATGCAGTTGAATAGCTCTCACTAATAAGTATCAGCATATTAAGTTTGATAAACATATCTTGAATGGTTTATTTAAAACTGAGCTAAACACTGATTTCAGAAAAGTGAGGTCAAGGTCAAAGAAAAGGTCAAGGTCAAAAAATGTTGATGCAGTTGAAAAGGTAACATCAGTATGTATCAGCATATGAAGTTTGATTACACTATCTTGAATGGTTTCTTTAAAACTGAGCTGAACACTAATTTAAGAAAAGTAAGGTAAAGGTCAAAGGAAAGGTCAAGGTCAAAAAATGTTTACACAATTGAAAAGCTCTCATCAATACCTATCAACATATGAAGTTTTACAAAAAAAAATATCTTGAATAGTTTCTTTGAAACTGAGATTTGAACTGAGCCTAAACGCAAAGCTCGATAGAAGGACAGAAGGACGGATTAGACAGACATGACAAACATTATATGGCCCGGCCATATTCATGGCGGGGTATAAAAATATTATGAAGTAAACTAGTGGTATGCATTTTTAATGTTTATTTGAATTATTAATAAATATCAATTTTAACCACTTTTCATAATAATTATTAATTAAATTTCTTTGTAACATCAATTAGAGCTTTTTTCACAATCAAATCTATACTTAAGAAAGACATTGTATCAGTCATATTTAAAAGCTTTTATTCTAGGAGTTGATATATTAACAAATATTTATTTAAGATATTGATTGTTAGAACAACTCAGTTGAAGATCACATTATCTATCACCTAAATCTCAGGATTGATATTATATTAATGTTAATTTTCATTTAGACAGATTAATCTTCTGGTCCAACTCTTGAAGTTAATTTTTTCCTCAAAAATGAATTACCCATAATTATTGTACTTTAATGAATAGCATACTGATGTGAATAAATGGGTCTGTTACAATCGCCTAACACTGTCTGCATCCTCTTGTCTAAATACCTCTTGACAGATTATGTGGGACATACAGTGGCTGCACCAAATTCCCGCATATTCTTTCAGATAAGGTCATGGGTATCAATTTCACTCTCATTGTCAAAAAGTGTGTTATATAAAACAGTGACAGTTTATTCTATGTTTTAATCAAATTTAACTGTTACATAAATAATGATCACCATAGCCTTCAACACATAATTGGAAGGTGATAAAACCCTTTGAACTAAATTTTAGCTTTCTGTCACATCTTTGTTATGTCTGCTAACACTTTTATATGTTTTTGACCACACAGCTGAACAATGTAGGTTAATATATTGTTACAAGGTTGTTTGTAGAATAAGATTGATGATTTTTCTCTCTATATAATTTACTTTAGATTTGCAACCATCAATTTTGTATCTTAAAATGTGACTTTAAAAGAAGATTATCAATAATTCACATACATTTACTTAAAGAATTAAATAATATTATGATACTGTAATATGAATAAAATACATTGGTGACTCACAATTTTATCAGTTTAAAAGTTAATGGGAAGGAATGCACTGTGATGCTAGTTAAGGGATGATAATATTTATATAAACTCCTAAAGAATGCAATAATTTTAATGTATGCATGCTGTTAAGTTAATTCAACACTAGATCACATACTCCAAAATTAAATGGTCATCGTTCACTGTGAGTTTAATCAGTGAAACTGGGTGTGAGGATTCTGGTTTTTCTGTATGAGCCAGTGTAATCTTAAAGAGCTTTCACTATCAATTAGAAAACTAAAAATTTATTCAATGTTTAATAAAGATAAACTGGAGTAAAAACAATTAACACAATGCATTCACTTGAAGTGTGATATGACCCATAGTTGATTTGTTGTTTCTGAGGGCGAGGTAGCAACAACCCAAGAAAATGGGAGAGAGATTAGTATGGTAATTGCTATGTCATTTTTAATGCAAGGAAGTAAGGGAGTGAGTGAACCTTATAGTACACCATATACATGTAATAGTGGTATTAAGTGTGAAACTTATTTTAAAACTAATTATTTTTTTTTAATTTAACATGGAAGGTAATGAAAAGGTGAGTGTATATATTGAAAAAAAAAGCGTTCATATAAATTGCTGTAAACACTGAACCTAATAGCTCTGTTGCAACCAAGCTCTTGACAGGTTTGTTAACACATCAAATTAAACTGTATTAAAACAATCAGTAAGACCGACTATATCTGTTGATTAATTATGTTCAACAGTTTCCAAACGTTTTTAAAAAACAGGGATTATCTTGTCAGTATCA